TATATTAAATATTTACTATTTATTACTTAATACAAACAAATAAACAAATAAGAATTGCATTTCATTATTTTCTAAACCAGTTTAGTATATTTATACTAATACATTTGAATAAAATATTCTGTATGTGGCTCTATCATCCTGTTTATTAATGTTTAAAACATTTTGCATATAAAATATATAATCTGAAGATTGAGTAAAAGTTAAAAGATATTGATAAAGTATTATTATTTCTAAGTACAAAGTCATGCTTCTGAATGAAGTTGATTATAAGCTGTTTTTTTAGCATATTTAGGATTTTGCATGATTATGATAGGTAAATTTTGATATATTAGCATCTATATATATTAATTTATTCAATAAATGCTTTTTTTAAATCATATAACTTATTAAATTTTAATCATCTAGAAGTGTATATTATAATAATTATCATAAAATTTAAAAAGTTTTAGCTTTTTCATTACTTATTAATAATTGTTGTGAATTATATTCAATAGAAGTATTATCTGATCCTAAATTAATTAAATTAACACCTATATCTCATGATATGATTATTATATTTATTAAAAGATTATAAATTTTTGCAGCATTAGATTCTCCTTTTGTTAGTAACGTAGAAATTACAAGAGGTAGAATTTTTTTAATTGAAATCTAGTAAAATATTTAAAATATTAATAATTTTTTAATAAATAATTTTTAAATCATTTAATTTATACCTTTAATACTACTATTCTAACTTGAGTTGCAATAGCTTTTTTTTGTTTTATATAATTTATAACTTTATAAATATTGTCATACATTTGAACTGAAGTTTTTAATAATTTTAGAGTTGATCCAATAATTCTACCTAATTTATCTGAATAAGTTAGTTTAGGCCGAATTTTTATACAATTTATCATTCTAATAATAAGTCTAATTTAATTAAATGCTCTAATTAATTGGGCAAATTTTAGAATATTTTCATATACTAATTCTAAATTAGTCACAATATTAACTTCTTTTGCTCGCAGGTATCTTATAGATTAAATGCTCATTTTTGCAAATATTTATCTAAAAATTTCATACTCATGGCTATTTTCTGATAGTAAATTAAAAATTGTTTTAAGTGTTCAGAATAACAGAGGCCTGAGAGTTTTTTTGTTTTTTAATTTTTTTCTTGTATTTGCATTATTAATGATACTAATCTTTAGAATGGTTTTTCTCCTTTAAAAAATCTATCTTTTTCAAATTAAGCTAATTTAATCCAAATTTCTGTATTATCGTTATCTTCATCAGCTAATACCTATATTGATTTAAGATTCATATTAATCAGTAATTTGCTTAAAGGATGTTTAAGATAGTATTTTAGAATAAAACGAATATTTTTTCTAGTTATCTGTCACTATAAATATAAAAAAAACTTAGTTGGTCTAATTTTATAAATATAATACAGTTGAACATATACCTTATTAATTGTTTTATTAAGGTAATTATTCTTTCTTAGTTTATCACAATTATTACAAATACTTGATTCTTTAATTGTAAAGTTTTCACATGCTTTATTTTTAACGGATATAGTAGTTTATCTAAAATTCATATAGCATATACATGTAGATAATTTTTGAGATTATCACGTTTCACTATACTAAGACTCTTTAATTTAAGTTTTATTTTATTAACAGTCTTAGAATATAATTTTTTTACAGCTATGTTAAGTTTAATTGATCCTTCAAATTCAGCAGAACTATTAAATACATATTCTTGATACTTTCCTTTATATAATCCTTTATATGCAATTTTATTAACATTTATATTATTCTCTTCATTTTAGTTTAAAAAAACTTTAATGCTTTGTTGTCCTTTTTTATTATATTTATAATTACTTAGTTCACTATGTATCATAAGATTTTATCCTCAAAATATTGATCTAAATAGATTTCTTTTTCACACTTATAATGAACTAATTTTAGAGTTATTTCTTCTATAAAATATTTATTAACATGTAATTTATTTTATAGCTCATCTATTTCTGTTTGCAAAAAAATTTTCTTTCTACGTTTTCTCTTTCTTTTTTATAAATTATCTGCATTATCATAGATTATAACATCATCATTATATTCTTCTTCTAATATAACATCTGCTTTTTCCATTTTTTATCGTCTGTTATTACTTTATTTTGTTTCATATTTATCTTATCTATTTTGACTAAATCATACTTGAATAAATCCAAAAATTCTTCTTCAGAATCATAATTACTATCTTCAGATAAATAAAGCTTTATAGAAGGAGAATTTTTAGAATGTTTGACTTGTATTTTTAGAATAGAAAAAAAATTTTTTATCGTGATTTTACATATCTATATATATATTTATATATTACTCTTATAAAAAATGTATATATTTATTATCTAATATAGTAACAACCTTAAAAATAATTATAAGATTTTTACCTATTTTATAAAACAACAATTTATTCTTATCTATCTTAATAATTAACTTAAATCTGATAAAAAATTTGTAGACCATTATTAAAGTGAATGTAGAATGCTAAATGTCAAAAAATTTTACTGAATTGAAAAGATTTATGGCTGAAAAATGGAAGGAAATTCTGGATTACATTTTAATGAATCTTACAGATTTGATGAAATGACATTGCAAGCTCATTATCAAAAATAATGAAGAATGAATCTCTTATTAAATTCTATTATTGTAATAAGCTCATTTCCACCTTTCAAATAAAAAAATTTCATGTTATTATATATTGTCAACATGAAATTATAACCATTTTTTAAATTCTGATTTTTTTTTGCAACACATTGTATTTGTTGAAAGTTGCAGAAGAGAAAAAAATATGAATGAAATGAAAAGTAGAACCCTTACATATCGCGATAAAATATTTTGAAGTACAGAAATTTTGGGTATGAATATGCACGAATTTTCACGTGATAAACTATGTTACTGTGACGTTGCCCTGAAAAAATGGTAGCCGGATTTTATTTGCCGGGTCACATATTTTTAAGGTTAATATTAGAGTTAGATTTGGATTAGGATTAGGGTTAGGGTAGAATTAGGATTAGTTGGAACTTGGGAGAGAAAATGTTAATTGTCACAATTGACGTCACCCCTAATAAGTATATGTGACCCGGCAAATAAAATCCGGCTATCATTTTTTCAGGACGACTGCCCTTACCAAAATAAATATCCTCTTCGCCAAGTAATGAGATATAGTAAATAATATGAACCGTAGGAGGTTATTTGGGAGATTTGCTAACTTACATAGCGTCGCACGGAAAAAATGGTAGCCTGCTGCTCATTTTTCAGGTTAAGGTTTGCTATTAAATCACGTTACGGATCATATTATCTACTATGTTCGTAACTTGATTTTAATATCAAACCTCCATTTGTCTTCGTGTCTCTCTTTAAGAGGTAAATTTGCCAGTCGTTCGTGCCTTTTGAGCCTGTCGTTAGAGAGAACTTAATCTCTCCTGATGTGGAATATCTTACCTTCGAATGAGTCACTGCGGTCCTGTCATACAATCATTTATGTACTTATATATATATCATCTGAATTTTTATACAATTACAAAAATGTCTTTTTTCAGTTGGTATAAAAATCACTTAACGAGACGACCGATTTTGATTCAATCTATTACCACGGGTAAATTTGTAATATTTGTTCACGAATATTCATTATTTAGTTAATTCAATGTTAATGATTTTTAGGAACGTTATTTGCTACGGGAGATGTTATAGCTCAACAATTTGTTGAACAAAGGGGATTGGAATCTCATAATTCTTATCGAACTTTAAGACTTGGAGGATTTGGTTTATGTGTAGCAGCAAGTATTTGATGCTTATAAATTCCGTGATTATAAAATTTTTTTTTTTTAATTTCTTTTATGTTTGTCAATAGGGACCATCCACAGCTCTTTGGTATCGATCTTTAGATCGATTTGTTACGATTAAAAATCCCATGTTAGGTAATTCATATTGATGTAAAACACTTTGTCTTTAATTCTATCATTTAAATCATTTTTATCACCATAATTATAATCTTTGTACAGGGTTAGTAACGCGCGTTTCGCTAGACCAAGCTTTATTCGCTCCATGTTTTATTACAACATTTTTTATATGTCAAGCTTTAATGGAAGGTCAAGCTAAATCTCAGATTTTAGAAAAACTTGGAGATGTAAATATGTTCTCTATAATTTACGGAGAGATTATTTTTATGCTAATTTCTTCTATCAACTTTGTATCAACAGGCTTTCGTGCCTACTTTAATTAATAATTATAAATTGTGGCCAGCAGTACAATTAGTCAATTTTCATTTTGTACCATTGAATTATAGGACTTTGATTGTCAATTGTGTTGCTCTTGGTTGGAATACTTATTTATCCGTTATTAATAAGAAAAGTTCCGATAAGGTAAATGATAAAGGGGAGAAAATTAATACACCTTTGTAAATAAATTGATCACAAATTTAAATATAAATCATCCTTTTCTTTTTGTTTTAATATATAAAAATATATTTCACTTGTTTTTTCTACTTAAATTGCTATCAAATAAAATTTCTAATGTAACTATCCTACGTCCAAATCATGAAAATATGCCATTCTTCAATACCAAATCATCCTAACAAAATCTATATCTTCATAAGATAATTCAGATATGCAAGATCAATAAAAGATTACAGGCGTCGTTACTTGAAATGGATTAAGCTATGTGCGCGATCAAGCGAAGTTTTGTCAGTGTATGAATGGTGGTTTTTTAAATGTCGTATAGTTTTAGAAACTTAAATAAATAACGTCCTATTTGTGTTATCCCAACAACCACATGAACGTGAGGTCAGCTAATCAAGATCCAATGACCAATCAAATTTAGCTGATCTGATCAAAAAAAGCATCTATTGTAAATTAGCTTACGAAATTTGAAATGTAAATCTGTAATAAAAAATTTTTCTGAAAAAATGTTATAAATTAATTTTTTTGGTTGATCAATTCTTTTTTTTTTGAAAAATTTGAATTCATGCCTCCTAATAATAAAATTAAAAAATCTGAAAATAAAAAAAATGAAAAAATTGATTACGATACCGCACAAAGAAGGATTTTGCAACATACCAAAATATTAGAATCAAAAGAATCATATATAAGTGATGATGATTCAAATACGACTAGACTCGGTTTTCACTCTTCGAATGACAAAGAAAGTACTGGTAAGCTTGTAATTAAAATTTTTTTTTTTGAATTGGAATTCGGTTTAACAAACATTTTGTAACAAATGTATATAGTTACTACGATTCGAATTGGTGATGTTTCTTTAAGGGTTACCAAGTCTAAACGTCCTGAATTGGTTCCCCATTATATTGATCCGCTTTTTGAAGAATCACAAGTTTGTATATTCGATTCTTTCTTTATGTTTAAATATTTAACCAATTCACGTTTTGAATTGATTTTATATCACCTGATTGCAATTACCAGGAAGTTCTGAGACATTTAAGATGGTAAGTATGAAACGTTAGGTAAAACTATGGCAAAACATGAGTATTCGACTGATGTCAATCATATTTATATAGGATAATGCAAAAAGACAAATTAAAACAAGATATATTCCTCATCGGGTATATAAAAATATTACCTAATTATTAATTTGATTTTTCTGTATTTTTACCCACTCAAACTAATTAACCAATACTTGTTATAGACTTCCCGGGCATTTACGTAGGGGACTAGTTCTCAAGTATGCTCAACTTACAAATCGAGAAATCGAGTACGTTCCTTTATCAAAAGATTGTACTGATTCGGATTTAAAACAGCGTCGTGAAATATCTGGGGGGACCGCGTATTACATAGATCAAGCTTGCGTTAGAGCTGCTACCAATGGTCGAATATTAATCTTGGACGGTATTGAAAAAGCCGAAAGAAATGTTTTGCCGATATTAAATAATTTATTGGAAAACAGAGAAATGTCATTAGAGGATGGAAGATTTTTGGTACATCCAAAACGGTATGACTCTTTAGCAAAAAATAATAAAAAAAGCGTGATGGATGATTGGAAACTTGTGAGGGTTTCAGATCAATTTATTGTTATGGCTCTTGGTCTACCAGTTCCACCTTATGTTGGACATCCTCTGGATCCTCCGCTTAGATCAAGATTTCAATCAAGAGATGTAAAGCCACCCGGATTTGATTCTTATATCAGACATTTAAGAAAATTGGCGCCTGATGCAAATCCGGAATTAGCTGAACGATTAGCATCTGTGGCAACCGTTCTTGGATCAATGTCATTTGATGAAGGTGGAATTGAGATTCCGGAATTTCCGAGTTCAGTGGATACAAGTGCTCTTGTTTTGCAAAAATTTCCATATATTAAACCAAGATTTTTGTTGGACTTGTTATATCCATGGCCTTTGCTACCAACTTGTGCTGCTGAACAAAAAGATGTTATTGAAGCGACTTATCATCGTTTCGGGATGCTAGGTTTTGAAATTAATAAGCCAGAAAAACTCAGGACGGAAAGTGGCAGTAGTAAGCCCGAGGAAGATATTATTTTTCAATGTATGCCTGGATATAATGTTACTGATATAAAATTATCAGAAAGTAAGGAAAGAGCTATAGCTAGTGACCTTCCTATTCATAAAATTGATTTAAATTTCCATTCTGAGGTGGCGGGGTTAAAAGATCATTTAGTTCAAGTTTTTGGAGGTGATGAAGATCCTTCGACTGCAGATTTCTTTGTTGAGACTAATTATCACAAAAACTTATTTAATTCAATGTTAATTACTCATTCTGTGGGAGATTTTTGTGTACTTGGAGGAAAAGGTGTTGGTAAAAGTGCATTAGTAAGGCATTTTGCCATAAATCTTGGGTATGTTATATAACAAGTTTAATTTAAATTCATGTATATAATAATAACAAAATATCTTTTTTTTTTTTTTTAAAAGGTATACTATTGAATACATCCCATTATACAAGGACATGTCTGCTCGCGATCTTTTACAACGTCGCGGCACAACCTTTGCAGGAGACACAATCTGGGAGAATTCATCATTAGTAAAAGCAGCGTTATTTGGTAGTTTAGCCGTTATGGATGGTATCGACACACTTTCATTTGGAACGATCGTGACATTACAACGCTTGATAAAAGAACGTGAGATATCACTTCCTGATGGAACTCAATTGATTCATCCGTTTAGATATCAGAAATTAATAGAAGGTCATGGGTTCACAAAAGAACAATTGGATAAAAAGGGAATCTTTGCTATTCACCCAGCATTCAGGATTATAGCCTTAGGACGTCCCGTTAGTGGTGGAAGTGGTGAAGGAAGACCTGGTGCCTGGTTATCACCGGAAATCGTCTCAATGTTTCAGTTCGTCGTTGTGCGCTCATTGGATTATCAAGAAGAAATGCGTGTTCTTGAAACTTTGTCTCCTGGGATAGATTCTAATAACCTTTCGTTGCTATTGCAATTTGCCAATCGACTTCGTAAAGGTTCTGATGAAATCGTAAAGACACTATCTAACGCACTTTCTACACGGTAAATCAAAATTAACGATAATTATGTATCCATTCTAGGTAATTAATTTTCTGTTGTATTTTTGTAGACAATTGATCAGGATTTGTCGTAGACTTGCATTGTTTCCGAATGATAGTTTGTATGAAGCTATTCATAGAGTTTCTTTATCAAGATTCTTACCATCTTTAGCCAAGACGGCATTGGAAGAATTAATGGCCAGCAATGGCATTTTACCTCCAATGAAAGTTGTTAATGTTGAACAGGTAAATTATCTAAAATTAATGTCTTCATACGTTATATAAGTTTAAGAAAAAATGAAAAAATTTTTTTTCCATATATAGTTGAAAATTGATGTGCTTCCGTCAAGGTCAAATCCTCAAATATTGAAAATAGGAAATGTTGAAGAACCAATAGCTAAGGATTCGAATCCACTTTTAATTCCTGATATTGTCTTTCATGAAAATCCTAAACAAACAGAAATTCTCATGCAAATGTTGCAAGATTATCAATTAGGTATTTAAACATAACAATCTTATCAGAAAACGAATGTAATATGTTATATATCAATAATATAATTATGTTTTAACAGGGGAGCACTTGTTATTGATCGGTAATCAGGGAGTAGGAAAAAATAAGTTGGCAGATTACTTTTTGCAATTGTTGAGATTACCTAGAGAATATATCCAATTGCACCGGTATGTTTAAATATTTTAATATTTGTATTTTAAATACGGATGATTAAAACTTCTATGTTGTTTTTTAATGATTGTAGTGACACAACAGTGCAGAGCTTAACGGCTACACCTTCTATCGTAGATGGTGTGTTACAGTTTGAAGATTCTCCGTTAGGTATGGATTTTAAGACCAAACACATTCATTTATATTATCATGATATGTATACTAATCCACATTCTTCATATAGTTAAGGCTGTTAAAAATGGTAATTAAACGTATTAAGCTTATATATATATTATTGTCATGCTTTATATAATAACTATAAATTATGAACATTACAGGATATGTATTAGTGGTTGATGAAGCAGATAAAGCACCAACTTATGTAACAGCCGTGCTAAGAAATCTTCTTGAAGATGGTCAAATGGTTTTAGGTGATGGAAGAAGAATAGTGTCTACAATATCATCTAAAGATGCTAAAGAATGTATTGTTATACATAGAAATTTCAGAATGATAGTATTGGCGAATAGGCCAGGTGGGAATTTGTCTATGCGTAAGATGTAAATTAAATCTTTAATAACATTTATTTGTTCATATTTATAGGATTTCCTTTCCTTGGTAATGATTTTTATAGGGAAATTGGGGATGTTTTCAGTTGGTGAGCAATTGTTATTATGATTTCTTTTGTTAAACTATAAATAATTTTTGGTTTTAATAGTCACGCTGTAGACAATCCCGATTCAGAATCTGAAATGTTTCTGTTGACAAGATATGCACCAGATATTTCGGAGGATTTACTTCTTAAATTGACAGCAGCATTTGGTGATTTAAGAAAATTAGTAGACGAGGGATTGATTTCTTATCCATATTCCACTAGAGAATTGGTCAATATTGTTAAGCATATGCAGGTAAATAAGCATTCTTATGAATATCGTGTTTAACTACGTAATTTACTAAATAGAACTTTAATTTTATTCGAGATAGCAATATCCTGATGAAGGAATCTCGCGTATATTACAAAATGTTTTTGATTTTGATCAATATGATAAAGATTCAAAGGATCTTTTAATTGAAACCTTCCAGAAACATGGAATTCCTGTTGGATTAGAATCAGATTTTTCGATTAAATTAGGGAAAAGGATACCGTTGAGTAAACCTATAGTTACTGAACTTTGGACAAAATCAATTTCTGATAATAAAGTTTGCGTAGTTAAACAGGAACCTATAATATTTGGTGTATGTATAAATATAAATGTTGTTTATGGAGATGAATTGATTAATTCTAATGAAGATTTTTTTTCTAGGGGGACTGGGAAATTAAAGTTAATAAATCGAGAGAGCTCGATCGAACTGAAGGTAAGATAGGATCCTTATTTTTTAACATGCGATGAAAAATGATTTGACAAATTTTCTTTTGTTAGGTCGAATTGTGACTTTTACCGAACAAATTTATAATTTCAAGATTCCAACTCGCGGTGAAGCGCTTGATATAGTCGCACTTTCTGATGGATCATTGTTTGTAATTACAACAAATCCTATGACGATTCATACAGTTGACCAAAATCACCAAAAAGTTCGAAGTATAGAGATGTACGAATTCTTCCCATTACAAAAAGGTAAGAATTTATTAATATTTAATTGATAATCATTACGAAAATTTCAAAGATCAAAGTTTTTTTATTTTTTAGCTTCGCCAAGATTAAGAATGGCGATAGTACAAACACAAGAAACATGGTATATTATATTACATAATCCAGCTGAAAATTCATTATTTTCCATTGATTTAACAAGAAGTATAGCTGCAGCGGACATCGTATTGATCAATAAAATAGGGGTAAATTAATTTGTCATTTTTTTTTTTCTGTCTCATGAATCTTTTTTTTTTTTTAGAAAAATACTTCAACATCATCATCAATTATAGTTAACTGGGTTAAATCCCGTGAAGTCAATTATGTTAAAAGATTATGAATCCCTCGGGATTTTAGGTATGGGAACTAATACAACGATGAATATCACTTCCATAATTTTTAATGATAAATAAATAATATTTTTATAGTTTTTTATCAGATTGATAGACCAACTATACTTTTATTGGATTTCAATACCAATACTCAGCATATTATTGAAGTTCCAGTTAACAGTAAGTGTCATGCTAATTTTCTTTGAAACCTTGTTTTTTTTAGCCGTTTATAAACTCTTTATCACATGTATAGTATCACGTTTATATTTGTTGAGGACAAATGTGTGGTTATTAAGAGATTGTTCAAAAGGACAATATCATCTTTTGTATGCTGACGATCAGCAAACAATGTATGTATTCATATATATTCGATCAATAACAACATATTTAAATTCAGCTAATATTATTTAATGATAATAGGATTCCTAATATGATTCCTGATATAATCAAGAATATTGACATTAAAGGATTATTTAAACCTAATCCGGAAACAATAACTTATTTGTCAAACGATGGCGTTCCATATCCAAAAGTGTATGATTTATTCTCATCACCTTTATTATATCATATAAATCAATTAATAGACATTTATGTTTAATTTTGTTATTAGATCATCTGCCAGATTTTCACATAATGAAAATGATTCTATTGCTTTATCTATTGTATCTAACTTACCCGAAGCATTGTTGGAAAATCCGTCAAATAATTCTAAAGCCGAAATTATTTCATTTATGAGAGAAAGTGGTGATGATGGAAGGAATTATTATAAGAATTTAAAGACCTCTTCTTTATTTTTAAGAAAGTCTGGCCAATTAGCTACTATTATTCCATTAAAGGTATGCTGATGTTTTATATATATATATATATAATTTGCTTTATATTTCTTACAAGTAATTTTAACATTGATTTTAAAATTTATAGGATGGAAGAAGTGAAGGTTATTTAGAACTATTTAATCCCGTACAGACTACGTTATGGAGGGTTATAATACCTTTAGCTATTCCTGAAACCGGTCTAATTAAGAAGTGAGCCAGCTTTATATTCTAAAATATAATTGATAGCCAATTATAATGTGTGTATTTTTTTAATTTTACTTTCATAGTGATCCAGCATTAAATGCTATCGGTAGTCCTTACATACATTTTGAAAGAACTGCCGCATCTATGCTGGAATTACCTAATGGTGATTTGTTGACCATGGATATTAGTGGTATGTGAATTGTTTTGGATATATGTTAAAGCTGCTGATTAAATATCGTGTATTAATTTGAAATTTAATTTAGGCGTCGTGAGAGTATGGCAAGTTGATGCTGGACAATTAATAAACGCTGCTAACACTTGGAGGAAACTTGTTGGTTCTATTGACCAACGTGTATTATCTATCATATATGAAGACTCGGAGGTATAGTATAATTTTTGTATGTTTCAAAATAAACTGCCGAATCAAATCTTTATTATATTATTTTTATAGGGGAATACGATTTATGAACAAGCGGAAAATGTTGGAGTGAGTTCACAGGAAGGAAGTTCTGGTAATGGAGGAAGTGGGGGGAATGAAGGTGGTGAAAATTCTAACGAAGGAGCAGATGGAGCAGGTGGTGGTGGTGGTGTTCCGAGTGATCCATTGAATTTTAAAGGTCGTGAACCTACATTTATTGATGTTAGTAATTTGGAAATTGTAAGTCAAATACGAAAAATTATTATATTCTTTTTTCCATTAACTTAAAAATGGTTAATCCAATCTTAAATAAATTAGAGAACTGAGGCCAAACCACCCTTTGAACTTACTGACGCTCAGAGGTAAAAAAGAAAAAAAATCATATTTATCTCCTTTTTATTTATTCATATTAATTCACGCTTTGTCTTTAATAATCTCAGAGAATTACATGAAATATCTATGCAAAAACGTCGTGAACAAGTTAATATGACTCAAGCAGATTCTGACAAATTTAGATCATATTTAGCAAATGTACAGCGTGAAATTCGAGAGTTACGTGTTATATTAGAAAGTATTGAAGCAAAAAATAAAGAACGCGTTTGGTTAAAAAATCAAAGTTCTGGCGACATTGATGATACAAAACTGTAAGTGTTTAATAGGAATAAATAATCTGAATAATTTGGTATCCTTTTCTTATTCTAAACTATGTATTATAATCAGAATTGAGGGATTGACTGGGGATAGAAATATTTACAAAAGACGTGGTGAAAATGATCCCGAAGTTGGATTCTTCCAAAATCTTCCTAAGAAAATGTATTTCTTATTTGATATAAGTGCAAGGTAAGGGTAAAAATTATTAATAAATTTTAATTAATTAAATTATGAAGGTTTAATTTATTTTTAATTTAATTATTAGTATGTATCGTTTTAATTCGCATGATCGACGGCTGGAGAGGTCGATGGAAGTCGCGCTCAGTATGTAGATTTCATTATTTAATTTTAAGATATAAAAAGAAATTAACGGAACTAACTATCTTCATTTTTTTTTTTTTAAAAAAAAATTTAGTGGTTATGGAATCATTTAAGTCGTTTGAACACAAATTTCAATATAGAATTATTGGACATAGTGGAGATGGACCTAATATCGAATTTGTCAAAGAAGGACAATATCCTCGCACGGAAAAAGAATCATTGAAAATATTAAATCAAATGTTTAATCATTCGCAATTTTGTCTTAGTGGAGGTAAATAGTTTGTCGTTAAATGCTATATAGAAATGACACTAATTTAAAATTTTTTATTTTATAGATAATACAGTTAGTGCTACCGCTCATGCTATTAAAGATATCGTGAAAGAAGATGCAGATGATTATTTTGTCGTTGTACTCTCAGATGCGAATATTCAACAATATAGAATTAATCCAGAAGATATTTCGAAAGGTAATATATTATACAAATCTTAATCAATTCATATAATTGTTTATAAAATACATTTTTCTTCCTTAATTTATAGTATTGAAATCTGATGAAAGAGTAACTACAAGTATAATATTTATTGGATCTTTAGCAGATCAAGCAGAACAGTAAGTTTTAAATTCAACTATTTTAGCTTTGAAATTCTAATTGCTAAATCAATTTTTCATGCTGTTAGGTTAAAGAAATATCTAGGAAATAAGGCACATATTTGTATGGATAATAAAGATTTGCCAAAAATTATGAAATCTATATTCTTGGCTTCTATGTTAAAAGATTAATAAATTGGCTAACAGGAACTGTTGTGTGTCCGGAGATAAGGAACTTTAAAATATAATTATTAATACGGCGATCGCCGGACAGACTGACATGTCGATCCTATTGACTTGTACTGAAAAGTCCTTCGGACAATAATTTACTAATATTTTTGATAAATGTTAAGAAAAAGAGTAGCATAATAATGATTTAGTATATATATAAAAGGAAGCTCCTTATAATTTATTGTTATAATTTATTGTTATAAAAGTAATAAATATTAATGTTAGTCTACTTTTTCAACAAAACTGGTTAATGATTATTCAATTAAATCAATTATGATCTTTATTACTCTATTATTTATAAATTTAGATATCATTATTTTAGCGATGTTTTATATAATAATAAAATCATGTGGCTTTCCAAAATATTTGTCACATCCCTGTTTTTCTATTTTAATTTGGGCAACCCTTTACATTTTTCTTTTTTCTCACAACACTAAAAAAATAAAAATAAAAAAAAAAAAAATGTTTTTTATCGCCTATCGCTTTTTTGTTGGCTTTTTCCTTTATATGTCGTAAAGTAAGTATTTCCTCGTTCTACAATCTAACGACGATGTCAAACCGTCCCTTTGCCTAAGCCTCCTTCCGGATTGCATGGCCTTTACATGCTTTCATTAGTTTGGAGAGCTGATGACGCATACGTGAGGATCGTTCGTGGCTACCAAACGCTCTTATTGTATTGAAAGGCCTCTTCTATTCTCCCTTGCGGAGACAAATCAAACTTGGGTTGGTTATAGTTTGTTATTTTCCCTTGCGGAGACAAATCAACTTTGGTTGGTTATAGCTTGCTATTTTCCCTTGCGGAGACAAATCAACCTTTGGGTGGTTATAGCAATGCCAAAATATTTATTAAGTTTACCTATTCGGTTTACTGATTTTTTTTTACCTTTTTTTTTTTTTAGTGAAAACGTTCATCACTTGCAGATAAAGGGATCTGCAAACGATTAATTCTACGATTGCGACGAGGATACGATGTGATATTTATTTAATGGACCCTCCAATAATATTTGAAAAAGAAACTTGTTTAATAATATAATTAGTTATTCTTATTTGTACGACCAAAAGTCTTTTTATCAATAAAAGTTCAAAACAATTTCTCATTATCTATTAAAATCTATTCGCTTTTTCTCGTATTACTTGTAACATGTTTAAGAACAAGAACCATTGTCGGACTAAATGTAACGTGAGGGTAATTTTTTAAAAAAAAAGAATTTTGCGAAAAATCTTCAGTTAGCAACGCGTAGTATTTAATAAGGTGATCCCGGATAGTGAAAATTGCATCGCTCCTTAAATTTGAAAGATTATTATTGTATTAAAAAATTATTATTTATTTCTTGCTACATTGAAAAAAATTATGTCGAGGATTGATATTTTTCGAACGCTCTATAATATGATACCCAATAAATATACATTAAAATATGTTGTGAACAAAGATGAAAAAGCGTTTGATCATAAGTTAATATAAAGTTATATCCTAAATGATCATCATAATATAACACGTGGGAAGTATCAATCATTATCATTCAAAAAAAAAAAAAAAAAAAATATGTATCTGTTAGATTTTGACATTGTAATAATAGTTTTTCTCCAATAGCTCTGTATTGTTGTAAATTCAATGGATTCTCATCCTGGAAGAACGATATGCATGGGTTATTCGGTCATGAGCTTCGCGATTGGATTTCTTGAACTTGATGATAGCGATGATTAGTTGGATATCTAATTTGGTGCTAATTTTTTACTTTCTTTTATATTATTGTCATATATATGGCTCATCTATAAGTATACTGAATTGATGCCACGTAAACGACAATGATTATTTAATTATATTTTATTGATTGAGGAGTAAATGCAGTTGCTCCCGTTCACATACAAAAATGAGTCGAATAGAACATTTTTAAAAATTATTTTACATCAATAACTTAGTTAAGCTAAACTCCAACAATTTTCCTCATCTTTTCTTCATTAAACATATTAAATCCAATTCCGAAATAAATCATTCGATTTAATAAGAATAAATTGGTAATGAAACAAATAAACATTATCGTAATAAAGAAATAAAATCTCATTAATTTTGCCCAACTTTTTAAAAATAATGAAGAGCAATTGTTTATAACCCAATAGCGATATAATTTTATTGCGATTTCTATAAATATATATATTTTATTTTTTTAAAAAAAAAAAAGAAAAGAGGTTAAACAGCGATATATTGAAGAATAAGATTAACCATGCTTTTGCTTACCTTTGAAATGATGCAGACAATAATTATAATTATTCAAATTTAAATTTTTTAATTCGAGCTCATTTATAAATAATTCCATTATATCAGAACCATTTGAAGACGGTTTTGTCAACATTTTTGTTGGTTGTAATGGTGACATTTTTGTTCGTTTGTTTGTTGGTTCGACAATTTCTTGATATTTAAAATTAAATCGGTCACATTGTTCGGACATAAAGTGAACCTTATCATTATTTGGAATTTTCAGGACGCCATATATATAAATCGGGTCAAATTTTTTTGCAGAATTAAATCTAGGTCGATTAGGATTTATAAAAGGATTTAAAATGTTATCCATGGAGTTATTCCAAGAACTCATCCACCATTCATTTAATTTTTTATGGATATATTTAATAGTAGGGCGATTGCTTGGATTATGATCCCAGCATTCGCTAATTAATAATTCTAACGGGTAAGGTAATCGAGCATTTGTAAATAATTCTGGTTTTTCGATTTTAAAAGGAGGTTTCTCTTTCATTATTAAATTATGAAATGGTTTTTGTAAAGAAATTTCCCAAAATATCAACCCCAAACAATAAATATCAGATTCTTTTGTATATGGTTTTCCATTAATTATTTCGGGTGGAAGGAAATTTAATAATCCATAATTATTTGAACAACCCAAGATTTTCGTTATTATCTTTGGATTTAACTTGTTTGGGGGATAGGTCAATCCTAAATCACTCAAGTACGTTTTATAATCCGCGCTACGTAATATATTATTTGTATGTAAATTTTCATGAAGCAATCCCTCATTATGAAGTTGCATTAACGTTGATGAAATGTCCATTAATATTTCCAACTTTTCCAACCATAGCGAATGTGCTTGTAGTTTACTTTCATTCAAATACGTTTGAACGTTTATATCCGCGTATTGGCTTATTATTGCGTAATCTTTAGTCGTTGAATCTTGCGTTATTCCGTAATGTCGAATCAACCCCGTAACGTTATATTTTTGAGCAGAGAAGATCTAATAATTGAAGGAAAAAAATTAATCTACATCTTTTTTGTTTAAATAAAAAAAAAAAAAAAACAATGTTATATATATACCTGGTTCAACAAATCCAATTTAATCCTTTTAGATTTATTTAAAACTTTAACTGCAACGACGCAATTTTCTTCGCATCTTTCCCAACACTTTTCCTTATAATTCCAATAACTGATACACCCATCTTTCCAAATCGCCTTATAAACCGTACCAAACCTACCTTTTCCTACATGCTCTTGAATTTTCAATCGATTTTCTGGGATCCACTCGATTATCTCCTGACTTGATGAAGAATTTAATTGTATCCTTTGAATTAATTGGTCAATGTTCTTATTACCGCTCGTCCAATTACCGAAATCACTTTGAAAATGTTTAGAATTACACGGCTTACACCAATCATAGGCGGATCTGGATTGATGACATTCTTGACAATTATCGAATAGCATCTTTACCCGTATTTTATGTTTATTTGTTATATTATGAATATTATTATTAGTGCTTTGCTTGTTAAAGTTCGTTTGTAAAAAAATAAAAAAAAAATAAAAAAAAAAAAAAAAAAAAAAGATATCAAATGAGGGAATACTATATATAAAAAAATTTTTTCATTGTTGATGGCTATTTTTAAATTTTTTCTGTGGCACGGAGGCACGGAATTTCTATTCTTAATTTAGATTCTCCTCGAGCCGGGTAATATTAAATTCTGGTATTGTAGCGAATTTAATTTTTCTCAGAGTTTATTGTATGTGAGAAGTTCTTGATTACGGAGTAAATGATCCAAAGAATGAATTTATTGATCACAAAAAAAAGCAAAAAAGGTAAGGTTTTGTTAAATATATTTTATTGTATTGTATTAGGTTAGATTGGGTTGACTCGGATGTGTAAAAAAAAAAAAAAAAAAAAAAAATCAAATAATATCATTATGTTAATCGAATTTTAAAAAATAAAATTTAAAATTGGTAAATGGTCGATCATATGGGAGGGGTTTACTATTAAAATGGATCATATGATTTACTATATTTGTAACTCGACTTTAATAGAAAACCTCCCATATATTCTCTAATTATAACCACATAAATTCATTCGATTGCAGCGAGTTCAAAACGGATCTAACCCGAAAAATAAAACGGACGCACCTGATCGACGCCTAGAAAAATCAAATTGATCAGATTTAGGTTACCAGAAAAAAAAAAGATTTTATTTATTTTCAGGATTTAGTACAACACTTGATGCAACTAAATTATTAATTTAAATTTATCAATTTTTCAAACAACGATTCGTAATAGTATATTGTGAAGCATAAATCAAATGCATGTGCATAAAGAACGTCAATACCTAATTTAGAAAATAATCTAACCAAAATATTGAATCCTTTGATTTGTTTAAAAATTTTAATCTTTAGTTTTATTAATTTTTATTAAAGTTTTAATATAGCTTTACTTTTTTTGAATTTTGCAGATTTATTATTTTAATTTAGTTTTCCTAAGTTTTACCTTAGATAATTTGTTAAACCTTTAAATTTCATTTAGTAATTTTGTATCTCTATATAATCACCAAAGTTTGTTTTGCAAAAATATTAATTATACATAATAACTTTTGATCTAGTGATTATATTTCAATAAAATACTATTATTAGAAACATCTTAATGAGAGCTTTCCAATGATTATAAGCATGACCTTATAAGACCAATACATTTTAAAATGAATAACCCGGCGATTTATAAAGGTCCCATTAAATGTTCCTACGATCTAATACAAAAACCCACTTCGTACAAAACTTTAAAAACTTGTTTTTAATACCATACGTCTTCAAAAGGTCAACGCCTTTTATTTTGTTTATTTGAAATGTATTATTGAAAATTCCTTTGATTGGCCGAGTTAAATTGGTGCGAACGTCCAATTTTTTTTAAAAAAATCAATCGAGGTTATTCATTTCCTTTAACAGATGTAAAAAATCACAAAAGTTTTTTTCATGATAAAAAAAAACTCGTCTCACTAAACATTTAACACACATTCGGCATTTCCCCGACCACTATGGTTAGATCGAAATCGCGATATTCCTGAAAAAGGTATTAAAGGAGATTCTTTTTTTCCCTCCCCACGATATATTGAATTTCTTATTCCTTTATAAAATTTAAATAATGGCATTGATTTTGGGTGATTTCATCTGGGTTAACGTTTTCACCGCACTTGTTGTAGTGTACATCGTCAAGTACTACTATTCATGGTATACACGGGAGAATCCGATTCCTGGACCATTTCCTTTGCCTTTAATAGGAAATTTACATCAGTTGGGACTGGATATGGGGAAAGGAGCGGTCAAATTACAAAAGGAGTTTGGGGACATGTTTGAAATATATTTAGGACCGACAAGAGCGATATTTATAAGTAGAGCGGAACTTACGGAAAAAATTTATAATCCGACGTTAAAGAATAATGAATTCTCCCTTCGCACACCCTCTAACCCAGGATTGGAGGAACTTCATCTGACAGAGACCGGTATCACATTTAATAGGGATTTGAACGCTTGGAAATTCAATAGGCGTATCTTAAACCTCACAGTGATGTCACCAAAATTCATGAGGGAGAGCGTGAAATTCACCAATCAAATTTGCGATGAGTTGGAAAAGTATTGGTCTACGATTAATCCCAATAATAAAATTGATTTTGCAAGGTGGACTTCTTGTCTCGCCGCTGATATTATCGTGACCACTTCAACCGGAACCAAGGGTTACTCCATGGCCGATTATATTAATAGCCTACCCAATTCGATTAAAGTCAAGATTTCCGAAAATATTCTCGGGGAATCCTTAAAATTTATTGAATCCATGTATATGTTTATCTCATGCGTCATGTTCTATTTCTCCTTTCCTCCTTTCGTTAGAAAGTTCGTCCCTGTAATTAAAACGATGTACCATAAGTATCGTGACAACAATATATGGTTAAATGCCGAATTAGATAGGATTATCTGTAACAGAAAACGAGAAATCCAAAGTGCCCCTTCTGATCAACCTATAGAGAACAACGTATTAAATTTATTAATCACTTTAAATACTGAAATGGATACCAATAAGATCACTGGTATCGATTATTCGAGACCGTTGACTAACATAGAAATTTCCTGCACGTTAAAGGAAATCTTTGACGCCGGAATGGACACGGTAAGTATCTTTAAAAAAAAAAAATCATTAATTGTTATAAATGAAATGAAAAATTTCTTGCTGATCAACTTTTGCTCATTCCTTAGACCCGAAACGTAATGTGCTATATCATGTTTTACATTAATAAATATCCCCAAGTTAAAGATAAGTTGATTCAGGAATACGAATCGATCTACGGGGATCTAAGCAAGAAGTTAGATGTTACTTACGAATCACTTGATAAATTAGTTTATACCGAAGCCGTGATCAATGAAGTCACACGTCTCATACCGCCATTACCCGTATTCATGCGTGCTGCCACTTTTGATACCGAAATTGGTGGTTACAAGATCAAGAAAGAAACGACCGTGTTTACGAACTTTACCGGCATTCACTATCATAAAGATTATTGGGTTGAACCCGAAAAGTTCAACCCTGATAGATTTTTAAAAAATGGTGATCATAAGATCGTTAAGAATTCTCATTTGCCTTTTGGAGGGGGTATTCGAATTTGTCCGGGAAGGCATTGGGCCATGGGGAATATGAAAATTTTATTGGTCAGAATTTTAACCAAATTCGAAATTAACCTCGCGGATCCTGAAGCTCCGTTAAAATTATCATATCATGGAATTCAGCATTGTGATGAATTATATATGTATATTAATCAAAAATCGAATGCTTAAATAGCGCAATATAAACGCTGCGCCCCGACACCCATAAAAATCAAATAGCCTAAAAAAAATCGTTACATTTATTTTATTACTTTTTAAATTTATTTATTTTTATTATTTTTTTTTTTTTAATAAATAAAAGGACAAAAAAAAAAATTAATTCTTTATTCTTTAAAACTTTATCAATTCTTTTGTATCATATCAAATTTTCACTTTCTTCACAAACCTTACAAATTAGCGGTTGCAAGCAAACCCTAATCCGATTTTGGTAAAAGTCGAAACTTTTCGAAGATAATTTTGAAAATTTCAACGGTTTAACTTGTTATTGATATCAGCATGACAATTTTCTTAATTTCCCTAAATTGAAAACCAAGTAAAATTAGTAATGTTTTATAATTGTTGAATTAACCAGACAACTGAAGCAATCAACTTTATTGTCATCTTGACTAGAAAAGTATAATGAAAAAACACGTCATATAACCATTGATAAATCAAAAAGATTTATATTTTATACTAATTACATGTCACTAATATCGTAATTTGTTTACTTTGAATTTGATATATTGAATTGTAATACATCGGTAAGTATGCTAAAACAAGATTAATTCTTTGACTCTAAAGAACTGACCTTAGCTACTCATTTAATAATTCTTTGACTTTAGAATTTTAAAGTCTATTTATCTCTTTATAGATATTTTCGGCTTCAAAACTTATATTTTGTTGCTGAATTTTCTAAACAAGCTTTCCAAAATCGTGCTTATGAGGATGAATTACACATTTTGGTCTCCCATTTGCAAACATGTCAAACGCTTTGTGGGATACGTTCATTTCTACATTCTTGAAACAAGCGCTTATTAGTCTACTGATTGAATTTGAATTTAAGAAGTTTTCAAGAAATAATCTGTGTTGAGGTGGGCTACCTATCAAGGGAAGAATTAGACAATCGTGATTGATTTTATTCATTAGAGCGATATGAAAAGATTGAAACTACGGGCTTATGGCTTTTGATTCATTAGATCGATGAAGACAGGATTGTTGTTTTGTAGCTTTAGTTTGGATAGATTTTTAATTTCGTAGAACTCTAGCTATATTACATGTAACAAAATGAGAATATTTATGGGCTGTACCATTCACAAAATGCGCATTTTTAATGTCCAGATCATTGATTTTAAAACTCTTGAACGCTCTGACAGCTTTAGGAAATGTTGCGATGAGGTCTGTTTTCTGATTCCGGTGAATTCATAATGTATTCTAGGTCAACATGGGAGTAGTGTAATTGCTTTGCTGATTTGCCCGCACTTTTTAAATGTACGATATTATTCCTTATAGTGCTACTCGTATTAACAACATATTTGGTAATTCTCCCGATTTGGATAATTGTATATATAACGGTTACGGTACGTTCCGCCGAAACCCCCTTTGCCGGAGCCAATTCACCGAAAGGACAATTTTCCGAACGCCACTTCGCCGAATGGACTTTTCACCGAAAAGAAGTTTCGCCGAAATGACGTTTTGCCGAATCCGTTTTGCCGAATGGACACTTCACCGAATCCGTTTCACCGAAAAGACATTTCGCTGAAAACGAAAATAATTCGCTGTTGGTTGTTAGATTTATTAAACCTTTTTTATTATTCTCAACGAAATTATTAAGAAAAAACTTACTTTATAATGTAGAACCTAAAAATGATAAGTTACGCAGTAGTCATTTTCGGCGAAATGTCCTTTCGGTTCGGTGAAACGGATTCGGCAAAACGGCATTTCGGCGAAATGGTATTTCGGCGAAAAGCCCATTCGGTGAAAAGTCCATTCGGCGAAATGGTCGTTCGGCAAAGAGTCCTTTCGGTGAATGAATTAGCTTCGGCAAAGTGGGTTTCGGCGAAACGTCCGGATACCATATATAACTATCCTTTTTCTCGGAACGCAATTATCGCAAAGAGCATCTCTGGATATTGCTAAAATGTTAAGTTGACCGAGCTAATCTGGCATATTGGGGACGCTAAAAGCTAGCATAATATAAAGAATTCCTTGCTCACAAACGTAACTTATGCGCTATCAATAACTGTGGTCCACACAAAGAGGTCATTTGTATTGCATTGAAAAAGCTTTCGCTCTTACCGATATATCATTGATAAATATTTTTATACACTTACGAATCAAACTGTCGTTGTTTTATTAACATGCAATTTATTAACGTTAAATTTCCTTTTCACGTAAAAATTTCACATTTTTGCGTCGGTTTATAATTTAGACATTCTATAAATAATGTGTGTAGGGCTGGGACAGGGGAGAAAATTAAGAACTGAAAATATTTTCAGTTCTTAATTTTCTCCCCTGTCCCAGCC